ATCGTGATTTAAAAAGAAAAATCTTGAAATGTCAAAAAAAAAGTAATCCTTGAATTTAGGATTATGTCAAGTCACAACCAGCAGAGAACTGTGGCACATAATATACTCTTGTCATCTTTCTCTTGCATATTTCGTCAAAGTATTCGCCAAATTTAAGAAGCTAGAGGAAAGAGGGAAAAATTCTTCATCATGTTTTGCTTCTTAAACTTTGGCAAAATCGATCATAAACATTTGTAAGAGAAAAATACGCCATTGGTTTTATGTTTTACCTTACTAGCTTTAGGATTTGATCGACAAGTTATGTATATTTATTGTCGAGTTATGTAGGTTGTTGTGGTACTGGTAAGGTTGTGGTGGTGAAGGTTGTGGTGGTGATAATGATGGGAGTAGTGGTGGTGATAGCCAAGAGAATGATGACAATAATAATTTTGATGTTTTTTTAATTGGTTCTACTTAAAGATAGACACCCCCCCAGCTTATTAATCACCCTAACGCAATGTAAGTGGTTTAATTATGTTAGGTTAGATTAGATTACATTAGGTTAGGTTTAGATTAGCATTATTTTTTTGTTATGTTGTGTTTTGTGCTGTGCTGTGTTGTGCTTTGCTGTTCTGTGTTGTGTTCTATTGTGCTGTGTTGTGTTCTACTGTGCTGTGTTGAGTTCTATGGTACTGTGCTGTGTTTTTTGTGCTGTGTTGTGCTTTGCTGTGTTGTGTCGTGTACTGCTGTGCTGTGTTATGTTAGGGTAGTTGATCTTAAGGTGAAATAATACGAGAAAAGTTGCAAGGGAGGTTCTTGGCAGCATCGTATCTTACATAATTATTTTATTGTCGTCAGTGACAGCAGGTGGCGCCCAGCTGTTCAGGCGAAGGCAATAATATATCAAAGTTTAATTTGCCTTGTGAAGCAGTCCAGTGGATTGTCCCAGTCTCGCCCTCCTCAACCCCAGACTAATGAGCAAAATTTATAGCACTGGGAGAAGGAAGTTACGGTGGCTGAATTAACTTAAGCTATTCTTGACAGTTACAGGGTCTCTCTCTCTCTCTCTCTCTCTCTCTCTCTCTCTCTCTCTCTCTCTCTCTCGTCTACTGTTAATTCAAATAATATTCTTACTTAGGCGAGGTGTTTATCTCTAAGAAAGAACTAAGTAAGGTTCACCAAACTACTGTTACATTACTATTTTCACTGCTTTAGGGTAAACAACTTTTTATATAAGGAAGAGAAACACAAAGTCACGGTGTTGTTAAAGAGTTGTGTTTTTGTGTTTGAAATTATTATGGTCATCAATTTATCGAATGTTAAATACTGTTGTTTATAAATTGTCTTTCTGTTCAGTGTTGTAATCTGTGGGAAAAAGTTATAAATTCAATTCATTTAAAAACCTATAATTTTAGGAATTTTGTGTTGCTCGTGAGAAGAAGAAAAAAAAGTTTATTCTCTTGAAAATTACACAGAATTCACATTTTATTCCTTTTATTCCGCTTTGTGTTGTATTTTCTGTGAATAACTTATCCCATTTATTCGTTTAAAAGCTATAATATATTTTTAGCTGAATTTTGTGTTGTGTGAAAAATCTTTATTCACTCGATAGAACCTTTTTTTTTAATATTTTTCATCAGTGCTGCGATAAAATATGTGGTTATTCACTTATTCACTTATGAAAAAAAAACTGGACAAATATTCTAGTTTTCCCAGGAGAGTTGTTAAAAAAAAATATCAGATTACCTGAACATATACCTCCATCTGATCATTTCACCTGAAGATTAACCACCCTAACGCTAACTGGTGGATTAGGTTAGGTTAGATTTGGTTAAGTATGGTTAGTTTAGGTTAAGTTAACATAGTGTTGGTTAATCTTCAGGTGAAATAAGCTTGGAGGTGAATATTCAGGTAATTTAATATTTTCTGTTTTATCAAGTAATGAATAAATTTTTATATCAGACAAAACAGTAATTCCAAGACCGAACATAAACGCACAAAGGCCTGTCAATTAGCAAGGAGACAGAAGAGGAAAATTCTGTCTATATTTTTACACACGAATGTTTTATCACTTCTATAAACGAGTCATTAAACACTTGATAACGTTTATCATTAGTAAAAATTAAGATACGATTAATTCGAAGCCTTGGGGCGAGATATTCAATAATAAAAAGAATATTCATGAATTTGATTTATCTGTAATTTTAAAAGTCAATTTCTAACATTTACAAATTTGTCAATCAGGTGTCCATGGTTGACCTTCAGGAGTAAAGTCGGGAAGTTTAATATTCACGAAAGTATTTGGAACGTCAATTACTTCTATAATCTCTCGTTTTATTGCACAAGCCTCGACTTAAACACACACACACACACACACACACACACACGCACACACGGCATTATTCATATTGGATTGTGTATAATTCATAAGGTTTTTCAATCAGAGGTATTTGTTTACTTGATCCAGCTGTTCTCTCACCTGATCCAGCTGTTCTCTCACCTGATCCAGCTGTTCTCTCACCTGATCCAGCTGTTCTCTCACCTGATCCAGCTGTTCTCTCACCTGACCCAGCTGTTCTCTCACCTGACCCAGCTGTTCTCTCACCTGATCCAGCTGTTCTCTCACCTGATCCAGCTGTTCTCTCACCTGATCCAGCTGTTCTCTCACCTGATCCAGCTGTTCTCTCACCTGATCCAGCTGTTCTCTCACCTGATCCAGCTGTTCTCTCACCTGATCCAGCTGTTCTCTCACCTGATCCAGCTGTTCTCTCACCTGACCCAGCTGTTCTCTCACCTGGCCCAGCTGTTCTCTCACCTGCCAGCTGTTCTCTCACCTGATCCAGCTGTTCTCTCACCTGATCCAGCTGTTCTCTCACCTGATCCAGCTGTTCTCTCACCTGCCTTTGACGACTTACTTTGATTTTGTTTCTCCTACTCACCGTCCTCTCCCCCCCTCACCTCTCTCTCTCACTCCCCTCTCTCCCCCCCACTGACCTTCACTCACTCCACCCCCCTCTCCCCCTCACCCCTCCCCACTCACCTCCCTCACCTCCCCCCCCACTCACACCTCTCCCCTCTCACCTCTCCTCCCACTCACCCCCCCTCCCCTCTCCCCACTCACCCTCTCTCCCCCCCACTCCTCTCTCCCCCCTCACCTCTCCCCCCCACTCACCCCTGCCCTCCCCCCTCACCCCTCTCTCTCTCCTCACCCCTCTCTTACTCTCCCCACTCACCCTCTCTTACTCTTCCATACACATTTCCGTGGGTGTGTTGAGGTTCTCGAGTACCCAAGATTTATATTACTACAAGGATCCCAAACCAATCAGAAGGTAGATAATTGTACGGGTAATTGGAATGCCAGGATGTGATTGGATGGATTCTTGGCGCCTTACCCGAGACCATTCCCATGCTCAGATTATTTTCAACCATCAATCCTCTTGGTGAGGATAATAAAATTCCCTTTAAAATGTGTATTAACGTCAAAACTTCTTAATAACAGGTAATAATAATAATAATAATAATAAGAGGTAATAATAATAATAATAGTAATAATAATAATAATAATAATAATAATAATAACATAATAATAATAATAATAATAATAATAATAATAATAATAATAATAATAACAGGTAATAATAATAATAATAATAATAACAGATAATAATAATAATAATAATAATAATAATAATAATAATAATAACAATAATAATAACAATAATAATAATAATAATAATAATAATAATAATAATAATAATAATAATAATAACAGGTAATAATAATAATAATGATAATAATAATAATAATAATAATAATAATAATAACAGGTAATAATAATAATAATAATAATAACAGGTAATAATAATAATAATAATAATGATAATAATAATAACAGGTAATAATAATAATAATAATAATAATAATAATAATAATAATAATAATAATAACAGGTAATAATAATAATAATAATAATAATAATAACAGGTAATACTAATAATAATAATAATAATAATAATAATAATAACAGATAATAATAATAATAATAATAATAATAATAATAATAACAGGTAATAATAATAGCATAATAATAATAATAACAGGTAATAATAATAATAATAATAATAATAATAATAATAATAAGATAATAATAATAATAATAATAATAATAATAATAATAATAATAATAATAATAACAGATAATAATAATAATAATAACAGATAATAATAATAATAATAATAATAATAATAATAATAATAATAATAATAATAATAATAATAGATATTAATAATAATAATAATAATAATAATAATAATAATAATAATAACATAATAATAATAATAATAATAACATAATAATAATAATAATAACAATAATAATAATAACAGGTAATAATAATAATAATAATAATAACAGGATAATAATAATAATAATGATAATAATAATAATAATGATAATAATAATAATAATAATAATAATAACAGGTAATAATAATAATAATAATAATAATAATAATAATAATAATAATAATAATAATAATAACAGGTAATAATAATAATAATAATAATAACAGGTAATAATAATAATAATAATAATAATAACAGGTAATAATAATAATAATAATAATAATAATAACAGGTAATAATAATAATAATAATAATAATAATAATAATAATAACAAGTAATAATAATAATAATAATAATAATAATAATAATAATAATAACAGATAATAATAATAATAATAATAATAACAGATAATAATAATAATAATAATAATAATAATAATAATAATAATGATAACAGGTAATAATAATAATAATAATAATAATAATAATAATATCAGATAATAATAATAATCATAATCATAATAATAATAATAATAACAGGTAATAATAATAATAATAATAATAACAGGTAATAATAATAATAATAATAATAATAATAATAATAATAACAATAATAATAATAATCATAATAATAATAATACCTTCAATTATTCAAACTGTCACATTCTGTTTCGTAATGCAGCTCAGGTGTTCCCAGGTAATGGTGTTATTCCTTAATTAATTTCTAAATATAGTCTTATTTTCTACCGTCAAGGAGCGGCCACTGTTGTTAACCTTCCTTCCTTCCTTCCTTCCCTTCCTTCCCTCCCTTTCCTTCCTTCCTCCCAGACATTTCTCAATATGTTCCTGATATTTTCTCACTTGGTCTCTTATCTTCCCTTAACTAACCTAGATATTACTTCCACCTGACCCAGATATTCCCACGCCTGACCCAGATATTCCCACTCCTGACCCAGATATTCCCACTCCTGACCCAGATATTCCCACGCCTGACCCAGATATTCCCACGCCTGACCCAGATATTCCCACGCCTGACCCAGATATTCCACGCCTGACCCAGATATTCCCACCTGACCCAGATATTCCCACGCCTGACCCAGATATTCCCAATCCTGACCCAGATATTCTACCCTGACCCAGATATTCCCACCCAGATATTCCAATGCCTGACCCAGATATTCCCACGCCTGACCCAGATATTATTCCCAGATACTACCCTGACCCAGATATTCTACCCTGACCCAGACATTCCCACTCCTGACCCAGATATTCTCACTCCTGACCCAGATATTCCCACTCCTGACCCAGTCATTCCCACGCCTGACCCAGATATTCCCACGCCTGACCCAGATATTCCCACTCCTGACCCAGATATTCCCACTCCTGACCCAGATATTCCCACTCCTGACCCAGACATTCCCACTCCTGACCCAGATATTCCCACTCCTGACCCAGATATTCCCACTCCTGACCCAGACATTCCCACTCCTGACCCCCTCCCAGTCTCCTGACCCAGATATTATTCCCAGATATACCCTGACCCAGACCCTGACCCAGATATTCCCACTCCTGACCCAGATATTCCCACTCCTGACCCAGACATTCCCACTCCTGACCCAGATATTCTCACTCCTGACCCAGATATTCCCACGCCTGACCCAAATATTCCCACTTCTGACCCAGATATTCTCTCACCCATGTTCACTCAGCCACGACGAACAATCTTGCACTCTCACAATCTTGTTTGCGATTATATTAACTTGAACCAGGATCCTCACCTTAATTAACTGGCACGAAGTAATTAATACTACGAAGGTATCAACAATATACACTCTAATTAACCACACCTGGCGGATCTCTCCCCTTCAACCAGCCAACACATCCCCGCTCCCACCCCTCATACCCCCCCCTCCACCCTCACACTTGTCGCTTCCACATTGTAATCTTATAACCTTGTTGTCGTCTTCTGAGGGAACGACCCGCTAGAGACAGATAATGGTCATGTTTATGGATCACCTGTAGATTAGGCACCCCAGGTTATTGCAACTGATGATTAAACACTCTAACCTAACCTAACCTAACCTAACTTTCCAGGTAGCTTTAGGGTGTTAAAACATAAGGTGAAATAAGCTGGGATGCCTATTCTTCAGATAATCCGTGATAGTTAAAGTTACTGTAATATCCCCACAGCTAACTCAAACACAGTCCGGCGTCTACCTGCTGTTTGGTACTATAAGCCGCACCACAAGAATATTTCATTAACCCACCTGAAGGTCTGATAGATCACCTGGTTGGACTCGCACTTCAGGAGACGACTCACTCACTTTCTTTACCTGGTTATGTGTAATTAGACATTTAATTATCTAATGTGAGTGTAAGTTAAAAAAAAAAACACTACGATACGATTAGATTATGTAAAAAAAAACACGGGATATAACTGAACTCGATACAACACGCGATGAGCATTGTCAGATGGACCACCAAGATGATGTGCGTCGTGTGAATTTTGTAAGGAGGTGTGCGTCAGTCAGTCAGTCAGTGAGTGGGTGAGTCAGTTAGTCAGGGGGAAATACGTGTACCAGCTGGCCCGCTCGTCCCCCAGTACAGGTATGGCAGGCTGTGTGGCACTAGACTTGTCCGGCGTTGAGTCTACATGTGGTGATGGGAAGGCGGTATGTATGTATGAATGTATATCGAACAAGCAAACACAAGGGCTACTCTCACTCACACACACTATGTTATAAGAAATTAAACGAGCGCGCACATACACACACGCACACACACACACACACACACACACACACACACACACTGCCCCAAAGTCAATAGATATTAAGAAAAAGTTTTCCAGCTAGAATTTTTGTCCATGTTCAGTATAAAACAGTAGTGCAACAAGGAGACTATCAACTGATAAACATCGCTCTTCTCCTTTTTTCCTGTGAAGCGGAGAGCCCTGGCGGAGCTGTGGTACGTGGCCTGCACCCTCAACACCACACTCCTGCCCTCACCACAACCACACGTCCTCTCTCCCTCCCAAAATGTTCTGCTGTAACTTTTTTGTTTAACTTTTTGGTCATGTGGATAACAGACAAACTTTAAATTTGTTTCAGGAATTCCTATCGCCGATTTAAAGATTTCCTATTGACTGACGCAGGAGAAAGTTTGATAGTGTTGACGGCAGTGGGGGATGTTTTCACTCCTTCAGAGAATATATGCCAGTATAGCGGCGTCCGGTGATACAGATATCGACGTTGCCACCTCTGTGTGTGCATCATAAAAAAAGCAACGAGTTTAACATTTCTATTCGGTTTAATCTATAAAAGTAAATAACTCACATTTATCCCGGTAATATCGGAGCGGCGAACTAGTGTGTCTCATCGCCGCCCTCCACCACAGATATCATCAAACAGAGACACTCAGTAAATACAGTGGTTGAGGACAAGGCTGGAGATGTAGGGCTTTGAGAGTTGGTGATAACCTGTTGTAGATGGCCCCGCCGAGCACCTGCTGTTCCTGACGGCGGCCACGTCCTGACACCTCGCCACCCACCCACCCTACCTGCTAGCTGGCTGGCTCACCCTCGCTCATCATCGCCCCGAAAATTAATCAGTTTTTTTCCTTTGCTGCGAAGTTAAAATTTATATATGTTGGTATATTGTTGTGATTACATCCTGACTACTAACAACTTTTTACTGAATATCTAAATTATATAATAACTCAGGATGACTTGCGATGGTGTCCCGAGGTCTTGTTTTCTTGTTAGTTTTTTTTTACGAATATTTACTTGTCAAATTGAATAGAATCATTAAAGTTACTCATTACAGTTATTAGTCAATATAATCATAAGTCTTTACTCTGATTTATTTTTACATTTAATCTTCTAACGTCATTTTTGTTTTCTCGTTCCGACCTATCAGTGTTATTAAGTATCGTTCACTACGTCCTACTTCCTTCAACAAACAAGTTTCAAAATAATAGAAACAATAATGACAACAAAAGTAAAAATTCCTCTATGATCAAATTGTGTCTCTTATAGTTCTTTTAAGTCTATTGCTAATGGTGACACTATCTGAGTAAGTTCCCTCATAGTGTACATGATATTACTCTTTCAGTGCAACATTTTTCACCACCTAGAGTGAGTTTTGGTCGCCGGCACAAGAGATAATTACAAAGATAATGATCAAGGTTTCACGGTGTTAATGTTATTAATACGGGGTCATTAGACTAACCACCTGAGAATTTCAACAGTTGCCTCAACCAGGCTGGGCGAGCACTTAAGAAAATTAATTGATCTCGTCTCCCTCCTGAAGACCATTAGACGTGTTGGCACGCTAAAGGCTCTCTCTCTCCACTCCGACTAACGCACGGCAAGACATGGACAGGCTCTCTCTCCTCTCCGACTGACGCACGGCAAGACATGGACAGGCTCTCTCTCCTCTCCGACTGACGCACGGCAAGACATAGACAGACTTTCTCTCCTCTCCGGCTGACGCACGGCAAGACATAGACAGACAGACCGGAGGACGACAGAGACACAGGTTCCTACGATCAATATTCCTCATTACTGAAAAGCACAAAAATAACATTAAAAAAAAAATACATAAAAATTACTCTCAGGCTCCAACTTAATTAGATGGTTACCTTAGCAACTCTATGAAGACAAAATTAAAGTAAGTGAATTTTTTTGAAAAGGTTCTTTTAATTATTTAATTTTTTCCTCCAATAGTTGCCGAGTTTCTAGTTGATCTCTCAGTGTACTTTTGGTGTTAGTTTTGGATATAATGTTTACTGTGTTTTTCCTTAATTTAAATAGATGTGTTTTGACCTTTTAAGTAATGGGGAAAATTCATCATACAGACCTTTTCTGTTTTTTTTTAATCCGTCCCCAAGTGGCTTAGGCCTTAGGACCAACTGTGATGTATATATTTTTTTCTGTACTCAACAATATAGTGAATTAAAGTGCCTCCTTCAGTATATGTAACAAGTAATGACTAAAACTCTGGATCATATCCTCTTTAAAACATCGATGAATTAATCTGATATTTTATTAATAATATTTCTTGACCTTTAAACACAGTGATAGAGTTATTACATCTGATACTCTTTATTTTTTTTTTTTCATATGATAGTGTCAACAAGACTGAATTTTATGGTATTACATCTGCTTTAATTCCAGGATTAGCACGGTCAAGCGAGGGAGTGGTAGTTCAGGTGTACTGTATTAACATTATGAAATAGATGTCAAGTTGTATTCATTTCTAGCGATGATTTATTTACTTTAATCTTCTGTATAATTCTATTTAAGCGTCACTCGTAAGTAAAGCAGGTTAAAGAAATACAGTAACAGTTAACCTGAATGTGTTACTGAAATCTGGGTTAGTGGACACGTTACTGAAGTTTGGGTTCAGAAATATCAAATGCATTTTAACTTCGAAATTATGCTAACCTTATCGCTTGACAGGTTAATGAAGCTGTCATAATTCATTAATTAGTGTAAATAATTTTTTATCCCACAAAATTATTCTGAAAATGTAAACTGGAGTGTATGTGAGTATGTGCCTCAGTATATGGTATTTACTGAACAATGTGACGGTCTTAAAGTATATATCGTCACTTGAAATTCGTTTTTATATAATATAAATTCAAACTTTAAAATCCCTTTGACGTCATTCACAAACCATTTTTTAATTTTACACAAAAAATTACTTGTAAACTCTAATACATTTTAAGTTTGCGTCGTCTGGAAGAGAAAGAGTACCTACAAAAATTAAAGTCGTATCAGTATGAGAAGCCAACGGGAAAGTTTTGTAAACAAAGAGAAACTGCGTTTTCCGTTGCTCACGGAAATTCTTTAAAGAATTTCTCGTCCACACAAAGCACAGAGGACGAGGAGCGAGTTGGTGGCGACATTTGGCAAGAGCGGGGAGCGGTGTAGTGTGCTGAGTGGGCGCGGGAGAGCAGCACCTGGCGGGAGATGCTGTGCTCAATCCTGCGTCCAAAACTTGCCAATGTCATTTACATAATAGTATTGGAATTGAATTGTCTAAAGTTTTTAAGATAACAATGGAGTTTCTGTATTTAAATTTGTTAACGTTTATATGAAATGAATTGAATATTAAAGGGAAGTAAGGATCTTAGCTTTGCAATTGTCCCAGTTCGGCGATGTCTGACACGATGGTGCCGGAAATCGCCAAGAGATGGCGCCACTAATATTTTCAGGCATGATTTCCACGTGCACAACTTTTGCATTGTTTTGAATTGAGGAATCAAATTTATCAAGGGTTTTATGAACTTGTAAAGTTTTGTCATCATCCAGTGTAGGCGAGGAAAGTGATAGTGAACAGTCGTGTATTATAAAACAACAACACAAAACCTTCATGGCATTGCTGAGATCAATAACACGCGTTACTATGAGAGATGAGGAATGCACTCAAACTGCTTCAAACTGCTCTTGTAACTAATGGTGATGAGACATAATTATAACGGGTGGACAGCGACAATAATTAAAGGG